TTCATTTCATTTCATTTCATTTCATTTCATTTCATTTCATTTCATTTATTTTGAAAGAGAGCGTGAGCAGGGGAGAGGCAGAGAGATAGGGAGAGAGAGAATCCCAAGCAGGCTCCACACTGTCAGCACAGAGCCCAACGTAGGGCTCAGTCCTACGAACTGTGAGATCATAACTGGAGCCAAGATCAAGAGTCAGACACTTAGTCAACTGAGCCATCCAGGCACCAGAAAGTCATTGTGGGTGCCTTGGCACTTTGGGAAAACTGGAGTTGTCAAGAAAAAACCAGTGGGATGTATTGGTAGGCCTAAGAACTGGGAAGGGGAGGCATTGGTTTACCGTACTGCTCTGAACTCATGGATATACAGAGTCAACATGGGCACTGCCCAGATGACACTTCAGATGGAAGCAGTTTGCCTTTGTGACAAAAATATTCTTTGTACTCATACCAGGACATATCACATTGACATTTTTTTTTTTTCCAATTTAGTGCTTGTATCACACAAGTGTTCAAGGAATTGAAGGAATTCTTAAAGTATAAAGAATGATAGCAACTTATCTACTGTTTCAAGTCATATCTGCTTGTTCCGGTATCACCCACAATCACAAAGGTACAAGTCAGAAACCAACCTAGATCCTTGACAACTTGAGATGATGGTAAGAAGCTACCTCTGGGTTTATTGTAAGAAAATTAACCTGACATTTTTAATTAATAACAAATCCCCTTGTTGAAGGCACTTTGAGTTGTTATGACATATACAGAGATTATGTCTACAATAGGATTCTTTGGGTTGCAAGTGACAGAAACCCAACTTGAATCCGTCTGAATAGAAAACTATTTGGTTGACTGGAGGGCTGCTGGAGCTGCTGTAGGAACGAGAACAGCTCTATGGAACTCAGAGTCTGGACCCAGGGATTTGACAACCCCAGCATCTTCTCTTTGCGTCTCTCTGGGTGACAGCTTCATTTTCTCAGGCTTTTTTATGTGACAAAGGACATGGTTATAAGGCTACCCTGGAATCTCATTTTACAATAACCTGAACACAATTCAACAGAAAAATGCCTCGGAAAGACTCTCATTGGCTTAGCTTGAATCACATGCCCATCCTGAGCCAATCACCATGGTCAGAGATGCAGGGTAAGATTAGTCCATTCCCAGCTGTGTGACCAACCCCGTGGTCAGGTGTATTACCAGGAGGGACAGAGGTGATGGGCAGACAAAGATAATAGCCACCACAATGACCATAATCCTGGAAGTCAGGCAAATGCACCCAGAAGGCAAATGCAAAACAGGAGTGGTATTTATTGTAGCTAAGAGCCCAGGGTTCAAAGGCACAAGGACCTAGATTTGGTCCGGTTCCACCAGTCCCCTGCTGTGCGAACTCTGTCTTAACCTCTCTGTACCTCCTGTTATTTATCTTGTCAAAGACAAAACTTGGACAAAGAGACTGATATGATTTAGCTTACTGCAATAGAAAGCACCCCAGATCAGACATCAGCGTGTACATTACCTCAGGTAAAGTACAACATTAATCTATACAATTCTGAAAATATTATCCATCTCATGGATGTGGTGTGAATTAAATAATTTATGTAATTCACTTAGCACAATGCTGGGCACACATGGGGTTGTCATATTTAGCAAATAAAAATACAGGCCAATATAATGTCCTGTATATACATTAAAATAAACCACTAGTTGGGATATACTTATATTAAAAACTTATCTGAAATCCAAATTTAAAATTTAAGGGGCGCCTGGGTGGCTCGGTCGGTTGAGTGTCCAACTTTGGCTCAGGTCATGATCTCACAGTTCCTGAGTTCGAGCCCTGCGTCGGGCTCTGTGCTGACAGCTCAGAGCCTGGAGCCTGCCTCAGATTCTGTCTCCCTCTCTCTCTGCCCCTCCCCTGCTCATGCTCTGTCTCTGTCTCAAAAATAAAAATAAAAAACGTTTAAAAAAATTTAAGTGTTCTATATTTTGTCTGACGACCTTTGGTACACAGTGAACTGACAAATGTTAACTTATTGTGTACGGGAATGTTAACTTATTGTGTACGGGAGATTTATTTTTTTTATTAAAAAAAATTTTTTTTAATGTTTATTGAGAGAGAGACAGAGACAGAGCATGAGCAAGGGAGAGACAGAGAGAGAGGGAGACACAGAATCCGAAGCAAACTCCAGGCTCTGAGCTGTCAGCACAGCCCAACTCAGCTGGAACTTACAAACCGTGAGATCATGACCTGAGCCGATGTCAGAAGCTTAACCCACTGAACCACCCAGGCATCCTGACATTTATTTTCAATACATACTACATGGACAGGATTTCCCTTCCTGCCAATTCTTTGAAGGCAATCTCAGATCCCAGAAGAGCAGTGGCAGGGCTGGAGGCCAGGGAGATGGTGGCCACAGACCATCTTGGGTTTCTTTATTATTTTTTTTTTAATTTTTTTTCAACATTTATTTTTTTTGGGGGGACAAAGAGAGACAGAGCATGAACGGGGGAGGGGCAGAGAGAGAGGGAGACACAGAATCAGGCTCCAGGCTCTGAGCCATCAGCCCAGAGCCCGACGCGGGGCTCGAACTCACGGACCGCGAGATCGTGACCTGGCTGAAGTCGGACGCTTAACCGACTGCGCCACCCAGGCGCCCCTGGGCTTCTTTAAAATAAAGTTCACCTACCTTCTCCATGACTCTTCCCTGACTCTGGCCTTGACCGTCTTTTTGGAAGCATGAGGTGGAAACACGAAGACTCCCACTACAGAGCCTCAGTGCCTGGAAGGTCATGTCTCCAGCCACCTCCCCACCCTCCAGCTGAGCTGGAGACTGGCAGGTGCTCTTTCAGTGCTGTTTAACTTGAGCCCCGAAGCACCACGTGCAAGGAGAGGGAGGATTTGCGCTGTTCTATTTTTGAAAACCAAAATTTCACACGGGGCGGGGGAAGTTTCTTAAAATTCCCAGAAAGTGCTGCAGCGGGGTGGAAGGGTGAAGCGTAGGCAGATTTGGGGCGACATTTTTGGTTCCAAGGTAACTCTGAGTCGCTCCTGCGAACGGGAGTAACACCTGTTTTTCCACGAACACCACTCTGTATTGTATTCTCTGGCCGGTTTGGTTTTTCCCGGGATACAACGAGCTCCTTGAAGTTAGGTATTGAGCCCAGTCGGCTCATCCCCAGAGCCGGGCAGAGCGCCAAGCAACGCGTGTGTGGAAATGAACGAACGAGAAGTGGTGGAGAGGAGGACAGGGGAAGCCACCCCACAGCGAGCCTCACGCAGCGGCCACCGCGCCGCGAAATCCCGCTCCACTTCCGCTGCCGGGAGGCCTCAGAGCCCCAGCTCCCAAATCGCCCGCCTTTCCTCCCAGGATGCTCCGCGCCGGCTGCGTCCCGTGATTGGCTGCACCGCCCCCACGTGACGTCGAACTGGCGGTGCCGGTTGCCTGGGCGACAGCTGGAGAAGTGGCGGCGGAGCGGGTTTGGCGCGGGCGGCCGCGGCCGTGCAGCAGGTAAGCGCCTCCTCCGACGCGGCCCGGCCGCCCTGGAGGCTGCCATCCCCGGGCGGAAAGGAGCAGTGGTGGGGCCCGAGGGCCGAAGCTCTGCGGAGCCCTCGCCCCAGAGGAAAGCCAGCTTGGCAGCCGCTGCCGAACGCCCCCACTTCTGGTCGGCCGTCCTGGGCTCTTACTCTGGCGTGGGCCCGAGGCGGCCTCCTGGACAAACCGAGGACGGGCCCAGCCGCTTCCCGCAAGTAGTCTCTGATCTGTGCTGCAGTGGACCGAACTTGGAAGGGGCCGCCAGTCGTCCAGCTGGGTAGTGGCGGCACGAGCGGGTAGCCTGGGGCTTTTAGATCCATCCGCTCTGTTATCTGCCTCAGCTAAACTCCTCTCCAGACTTCATCCAGTCTAAGCCAAACTAGGATGCTAACACTGCAATTTCGTCTTCCAGACAAATCCCATAGCCTTCCCCTTATTCGATCAGCTTGTAGGTCCTAGAGCCCTATTCTATGAAAATTAAAAAGCAATCCTCAAGAATGGCTGAAGAAGTTTTGTCTAGTTTCTGCATAAAGTAGAGCAGTGGTTCTTAAACTCGAGTGTGCATAAAAGTCATCCGGGGAGTTTGTTTAAATCAGTTTCTGGGGGCGCCTGGGTGGCGCAGTCGGTTAAGCGTCCGACTTCAGCCAGGTCACGATCTCGCGGTCCGTGAGTTCGAGCCCCGCGTCAGGCTCTGGGCTGATGGCTCGGAGACTGGAGCCTGTTTCTGATTCTGTGTCTCCCTCTCTCTCTGCCCCTCCCCCGTTCATGCTCTGTGTCTCTCTGTTCCAAAAATAAATAAACGTTGAAAAAAAAAATTTAAAAAAAAAAAAAGGTGCCTGGGAGGGGTGCCTGGGTGGTTCGGTAGGTTAAGTGTCTGACTTAGGCTCAGGTCATGATCTCACAGCTCATGGACCCGAGCCCCGTGTCAGGCTCTGTGCTGACAGCTCAATCTGCTTCAGATTCTGTCTCCCTCTCTCTCTGCCCCTCCCCCGTTCATGCTCTGTCTCTCTCTATCCCAAAAATAAATAAACGTTGAAAAAAATAAATAAATCAGTTTCTGGGCATCGTGCTGCCATGGTGTTCAGTAAGATCAGGGTGGCGCTAGGAATTTTCATTTGCAGAAGCATCCCAGGCGATCCTGATTGAGGTGGTCCCAGCGTTTTGGGTAGTACTTGTGTAATGGTTAATATCGGTCTGGACTTAAATTCATACTTTTGTCACTTAGTGGCTGAATTATTGGGAGCATCTCAACCTGTTTGAGCCTCAGTTACCTCATCTGTAAAATAATATAAATTATATTCATCTCTCAGTTTTGTTGTGACAATTAAATGTGAAGCATCTTGCATGTTGCCTGGCATACAGTAAACCCTTAAAGTGAACTTTTTTAAAAAAAATTTTTAACGTTTGTTTATTTTTGAGACAGAGAGAGACAGAGCATGAACGAGGGAGGGTCAAAAAGAGGGAGACACAGAATCTGAAACAGGCTTCAGGCTCTGAGCTGTCAGCACAGAGCCCGACGCGGGGCTCGAACTCACGGTCTGTGAGATCATGACCTGAGCCGAAGTCAGCCACCCAACCGACTGAGCCACCCAGGCGCCCCTAAAGTGAACTTTTTATGATATAAAGATTTAGATGAAATTCTCATTTCCAAGATGTCAGAGTAATAGAATATCCAACAGTGGCTCACATTCACTGAGAGATCATCACAGCAGAATCCCATTCAAATAGTGGTCTTGAAGAACTTCTCTGAGTAAGTGATGTTTATAAGCACAGGGATTAGCCAGGTGAAGAAAGAGGAGGAAAGTGTTGTAAGCAGCGAGAAGAGGATGTGCAAAGGCCCTGAGGTAGGAAGAGCTTGCGTTCTCAAAAACAACAACGTTCTCTTGTTCTCTGGTCTTCAAAATTCTGTTCTCTCTGCTTGGACATCATTTGTTTGTAAATATCTTGGGTGTCTGTGATGCCTACCAGGCTCTGTTAGGTTCTGGAGACATCAAATTTAAATCCACCTCCCTGCCTTTGTAGACAGGGTGATAAGTATAGCAGTAGAGGTAAATGTAGAGTTCAGAGGAGAGAGCATTTCCTTGATAGGGAAGGAAGGGGAGGGGCTCATGGCAGACCTCCTGAAAGAGGTCAGTTCTGGGTTAAGTTACCCTGATGAGTCAGGTTTGTGGTGGGGCGAGTGCATCAGACAGACGGTTTGGAGTTGTGGAAGAGCATGTGGTGTGGGGGGATATCGGAGGTTTGCCGCTGGTGGGCCTGCTGTGGGGCAGAGGTGGTGGGGGTCCAGAGAAGGGCTGAGGAGGTGGTGGTCCTCAAACCGTAGCAGTCTTTCCTCAGGTCCCTGGCAGGCCCGCAGGTGCCAGGAAGGATAGGTGCGCTCCCTGCTACATCCACGTCACTGTCCCCCTTCGTCAAAACCCCCAGCTCCTTCGAAGCACGTGCCCCGGCCTTTCCTCCCTGCCACCAACCTACTGGGGGCACAGCTGCCCCTCAAAGGCTGTAGCGCCTGGCTCACTGCCTGCCCCTCCACCTCCTCTCCTTCTGTTTTGGAGATTTCCCCGTTCTGGCCACTCACTCCACTTTCTCCATCTTTTTTTTTTTTTTTTTCTTTTTAATGTTTATTTATTTGTTTTGAGAGAGAGAGAGACAGACAGACAGACAGACACTCCCAAGCAGGCTCTGCACTGTCAGTGCAGAGCCCGACTTGGGCTCGGTCTCACAGTGAGATCGTGACCTGAGCTGAATTCAAGAGTCAAATGCTTAACTGATTGAGCCAGCCAAGTGCCCCTCTGCTTTCTTCGTCTTTCAGGCGTCTTCTTCCTCCGTTCCCTCTCTCCACTCCCTGCTGTGGCCACGAATGTCCTAATATGGCATCGCCTCCCAGATCAAGCACCTGTTCCATTCTGGTCACACTTTTTCTCTTTCAAGCTCACGTGAATGTGTCTCTGCCGCTGATCTCAGGCCCCGGGCCTCTTAAGCAGGTGTTTGACCCTGTTATGTTCTCACTGCTCTACGATCCCCTGTGCACCTCCCCCCTCCTCCAGCCTCAGTGCTCCATCACTGTTACACTGGCTTTCTCTTTTCCCTCTCTTCCAGAAAAAACCTCACCCTGGCTCACCTAACTCAGATGGCTGAAAGTGGCTGAAAAAACTGCAAAATTGTGCAGACTGGTTCCAGGTTTCGGATTCAAGTCCATGTGTCTTTTTTTTTTTTTTTTAATATTTATATTTGAGAGAAAGAGCCCTTGTGCATGAGAGTGTGAGTGGGGAGGGGAAGAGAGAGAGGGGGACAGAAGATCCGAAGCAGGCTCCGTGCTGACAGCAGAGAGCCTGATGTGGGGCTGGAACCCATGAACCTCGAGATCGTGACCTGAGCTAAAGTCAGACACTTAACTGACTGAGCCACCAGGCGCCCCTCGAGTCCATGTGTCTTAAGCAGATTCTCAGCACTGGAAATCCTGCCACATTTCCATAGTCTGCTTTCTTCCCACCTTCTCTTCCAGCCGTCAATGAGTTTCTTTACCTTAAAACACCTCCCATCTCTTTGAGACACCACTCCCTCCCTCCTTTCTGTGACAGATCTCCCTCTCTCCTTTGTGACTTCTCTCTTTAACCCTTTCCTTTCAGGTGCCTGTCCTCACTGTTCTTGTCCACGTCACTGTCAAACCCGTGTTGTCAAATCCAAGGATTGAGTCTTCTCCCCACATGTTCCTCGACCGTGCAGAGTGGCAGTTGACGTGGGGAACACCTTCCCTGGCTCCCAGGTGCCACAGTCTCCCGCTTGTGTCCCACCAACAAGTCACTGCTTTGGCTGCTTCTGTCTCCCTGAGCCCCTGGTACCCGAGTGCTCCAGGGTTCAGGCACGGGCCTGAGCTCTTCTCCGCTATGCCTCCTCCCTAGGAGTCCCATCCGTGTAGGACCCTTGTCTCCTGAGATGCTATCTTTATGCTGACAGTTTCCAAATGCTGATCTCCAGCTCCCACCTTCCCCTTTACTCGGGCTCCCACACACCCACCTTCTCCACACCCCGCCGGGATGCCTCGTGGGCCTGCGAGACTATGGCCGGAACAGAACTCTTGATGACCTGTCAGACGGCCCCTGTCCCCTTCCTCCCCACTTCAGCAGATGGCATCTGCTCAGGCCCGCGTGTCTTCCTTCCCTTCTTACCCTCACCCCCGACCTCCAGTCCATCAGCAGGTTGTGCACCTCTCCCTTTCACGTCTGGAACCCGAACACTTCACGAGGTTCCCCTCGGCTCATCCAGACTTCCCTCGTCACTAGCTTGGGCTCGGCCATGACCCCCTTTCCGCCCACGGTCCGCTCAGCCTCTCCCCACGCAGCAGACACTGCTGTTGGGAAACGTAAATCGGGGTTGGCAGTCCCTCCTCAGGGCCCTCTCGGGGCTTCCCATCACGCTCAGGCCGCTCGCCCACATAAGGCCTGTCTGACCTGGCCTGCGCCTCGAGGCCTCCTGTGTCTGCCTTGCTTCTCCCCACCCCGGTCCTCAGCGCTCTGTGGCCTCCACGCTTGCAGACCCCTCTCCCCGGATCCGGGAGTGCTCACGTCCTCGCGTCTCCACCCAGACGTTCCCAGGGAGGCCTTCTCTGCCCACACTGTCTAAAAGAGCCCCACACCCCTCTTCTCCAGGCTCTGTCCCCTTCTTGCTGTCTTTTCCTCATATCTGAAATTACTTCCATTCGTTGTTTTTGAGCAACTACAGCGTGCCAGGCAGTGCCTGGGCCCCGGGCACGCCGAGGGATGCAGCTCCTGAATCCACAGCGAGCGGTACTTAAGCAGATGGGTGTTCAAGTCAGATGGTGGTTAGTGCTGTTGAGAAAAATAAAGCAGGATGGAAGACTTAGAAGTGATGGGGCTCACCCCTTAGAAAGGGTAGTCAGGGCAAGCTCTCTGAGGAGGTGACATTTAGAAGAGACCTGAATGAGATGGGGGTGCCTGGAGGGTGTCTGCGGGAAGTGCAGAGAGAAGGCAGGCGTGGGCTGTGGGCGTCCGGTGGGTGCGGCCACTCGGTGGCCCTTGTACCTCAAGTTCACAGAGCAAAGGAGAGTGTGGGAGGCCAAGCTGTGTAGCCTTTGAGAGGTGGGCGTAAGGAGCATGGCCTTGGTCCGGAGGGTGGTGGAACCCCAGGAGGGTCCTAAGCAGGAGAGGAAAGATCACTTGTCAATAGGCTAGCAACTGAAGTAGGGAGAGAGGGAACGGGAGATTGCGTCCCCATACATTGGGAAAGATGGGGCCACAAGATGATGGTGAGACAGAGAATGAAAACGGGGCAAGTTACTAAATTTAATCTACCCGACTTACGCTTAAATAATTCAAATCAAATGCACTGTAATGGGCAGATGTAATGTTACAGAATCGTGTGTTCTTAGTATTAGAAGAGATCTGGTCAATTCCCCACTTTATTTCACAGATGAAAGAGGCTCCGAGTTTCGGTGATTGCCCCAGATCAGGTGCCAGTGAGTGGGTAGTTAGTATTAGTGCACAGGCTTTTTCATTCCCCTGGTTATGGGCACCCAGTGTGGGTGAAGAGCCTGGGGGTGCGGCTCAGGGAGTGGCTGCTTTGGACACACCTGGGGACAGGAAAAGTAGAAAGTACTTCTTCAAAACGTTTGCAGTGTTTTGTTTATTTAAACATTTGGACATGTACGTAGGCGTTGTGCATCCTTACATGTAACTAAAAGAAAACAAAAAACAAAAACAAACTGACCTAATAAATTCTCTAACGCGTGAACCTTAACACTTGTGAAAATATGTATCACTTCCTCCTCCATTACTGTGAGGCTAAATGATTATGGTCTTCCGGAAACATTACGGATTTCTTTCTTTCTTTCTTTCCTTCTTTCTTTCTTTCTTTCTTTCTTTCTTTCTTTCTTTCTTTCTTTC